GGGATCCTGGTGTCCACAATGTGGACAAAGTTTCCTGATCCCTTGTTTTCATCATCATAAAGGACTTATGAGTCAAGATGATCAATAAAATTGTCTTTAGATGTAAACTGGAGCCAAATTGTACGCAAACATTGTCAGAACACACTTGTTCTTTTTTGTTTGTTTTTACCAAAACCATCTTTCCACCATAAATCACAGAAAATGCAGCCAGTCCAGCAAACAGGTTTATTAAATAGTCCCGGGTGGGTGGGTGGTTCTTAGGGGTAAACATCAGTCGGGAGCTGGAAGTCTTTGAAGGTGTAGAACGATATGTCTCCATAGTCCACCACAGCTATGACCACTGGGATATCTCCGCTCTGATAGGCCAGCAGCTTGATGGCTCGCAGGTCGGGCACGGGGTCATCGAAACTGGGACACAGCACAGAGGTAATCACATCAAAGGTGTCAGTTTTATGAGATCACTGCAAAGCGAATAGTAATCAATCAATGACCGAGTGGACCCAGCTATAGTTTACTATGTTTTCCACCATGCATTGGTCTCACTGCTTCTTCCACAGCTCCTTAAAGTTTAGAGACTGACCCATTGGTAAGAATACTAGAAAGCTGCACACAAGACAGAAGCTTTTCATTTTTTTGTAATTTTACATTTTTAATCTCTACACTGTGACATTTTGCATTGAACCGTGGCTGAAGGACCGACAGCTGAATGATTTGCTGCAGCAGAAGCTTCGAATTTTGAGTCTTCCTGCAGAAAACGTTTGAACCATCACACATCTCCAAACAAACACGCTCGCCAAAACACACACACACAAGTAACAAAGCAGGAAAAAACAGCCTGAGGATGTGAAGAGTGAGAATTTCACTGCAATTTGTTACTAAGTATCACAGAGTCATCAGTTTTCTTATCCTGTGCTGTGGAAGAGATTTAATAAACATTTGATTTATAAGTCGTCACAGATTTGGGCTTTCTGCACAATTAGTGTTTTTTGTATAATATATATATTTAAAATGTATATAAATATTTATAATTTTTTGTCTAAATGCCTAAAACCACACTTAAGATTTTTTAGACACTAAAATAACTCGATTGATGATCCAGCTGCTTTATCGCAGCTCTGAATAATTAAGCAGCTGTTGGTGGTTAGAATCACACAAAGCAGGACGAGAGAAAGGCTCCACTCATGTCCAGCCACCGCGACATTCATTTAATTTGAGTGAAGCATCTATTGTTTTTCCTTTAAACAAACGAATCCTGAATAAATACGCCGTCGGGCGGCGATGTGATTGCTGACCTGCACACACACATGCGTGAGTACGGTTTCCCCGGGTTGCTCTTCTTGAAGTCGGCCACCGTGTTGGGCTGGTAAACATTGAAACAAATCCTCCAATCGTCCGCATCTTTTAACCTGAGAGGACAAAGCACAAGGTCATCCTGAACGATGCTGACTGCATCAGTA